AGGAGGTAATAGTAAACCACTTTTGAAAAACCTTGCCAAGAAAAACTAGTCCAGGCAATCACCAGAAGTCAAAAACTGACTCAAAGAGACAAAAAAAGCCCAATTAAACAACTAAAAGTGAATATAATAGAGGTGTAACAGAATATGGCTACTATATGGATAGAAACAATTATTTGCCTCTTATAATACTGGAATCCCAGGAATAGCCAAAGAAATTGATGGAAACTCTATGTTTCAGGCTCAGTTTTCAAGTTAGGTCTTGGAAATCCAATTCAATCCCTGCCCAACTAAACTCTGGAACACTGCTGTCAATCAATAGAGACTAAGAATTAGCAGCATGTATATTGCAAGAAATCAGTTTAGGCCTGTATTATGGGTATTCTTTTCTTTCCTTCATCATACAGTGGTGGGGGGTGTGAGAGAAAAAAAGTGTGCCTGAAAGCAAAAGTAGCATCAGAGATAAGAGATATCCTGATTCATTTGGGACACTGGATTTGTTACACTCATGGTGCAATTCCCAAGAGTGGCCACTGATCCCCAATATAGATAGTATGAACTAAACAGGTCAGTGGTCTCTAATGCCTTAAATAAGGATGGGACAATGTCATAGACATCATTTCTTGCTGTTTATTAGTAACAACTAATGTGGAACCTACAGATTCAGAGATAATATATAGCTGAAAGCCAGTTGTTGAAGGATGGCTATTCCCCACTTAAGGACATCCATTGGTTGGCCATTATTGGAAGTTTGATATAGGATTATATATAAGAACTTCTATACAGATTTTTGGTATTATTCTTTTAATCTGAATTGATTGGATACTTTTTGGATTCAGATAGTGACTGTCCAGTCCAGAATACCGTGTTATGAAAGAGAAATCAGCAGTGGTCATCCCTTTTGCATAACTCTATTTTTCTCAGGTGTCTGGAATCTGTGTCAGGACCAGGGGACAGACTGGCAATCCGTCTTCTTTGAAAGCCATAGGCACTGAGGGCTTAAGTCAGTGATGGCGAACCTTTTAGAGACCGAGTGCCCAAACTGCAACCCAAAACCCACTTATGCAGGGTCGGGTGCCGGGTGGGTGTGGCCCATTGGCTGGGCGTGGCCCATTGGCTGGGCATGGCTGCTGTGGTAATGGCAGACTGGGTGGGACCAAAAAGTTCAATCAATAAATTCCAACTTTGCAAGATTTGTTTTCCCACGAGAAGTTGAAATTGACTGATTGACCGAACCTTTTGGGGGTTTTTTTGCACATGGTGGTGGAGGCCTAAAAGCGAAAAGGTTTTATAAAACCCAGCTGAAGGCCTAGGACTGGGGCGATGGCGCCTGTGCCCACAGAGAGGGCTCTGAGTGCCGCCTCTGGCACCCGTGCCATAGGTTCGCCACCACTGGCTTAAGTCTAGGGAGCTGAATTAAATAGGATTGGCTTTGCTGGTTCTGTGTCCTATTCTCATCAAGAGGAAGAGGTTTGTTTGTAGGTATTTTGAGAGCTAATTTTGGATACACCAAATATTCTAAATTCCAGGTCATTGGAAAAAATTACTAAATGGTCCCAAGGAATCTAGTCAGCCTGAGTCATCTGGAAAAAAACCTAAAAAATAGCTGTTCAGTATTACTGGACAGAATGCTGGTAACTTAATTTTCCAAGGCAGTTCCATTTATCGGAATAGCAAAGAAAATGCTGCTATTGAGGAGTTTTTGCCACAAATATTCTGACATACTGAACAAATTAGGAGTGAATTTGTGCTTTGTAAATAGTGAATATCTAGGAAGCAAGATTATTTCTACAGTAAAATTAATTTATGTACATTTAACCTGCTGCCAGAGAATTATGGAAAGAATAAGGAGGAAAATTTGCATGGCAGGATACACATGCCATGAAATGTGTATACAATGTGGGTTAGACAGCATCACCACCAGATGGATCCATAGCTGGCTGACCGGCTGTACTCAGCATGTGGTCCTCAATGGAACAGCATCTACATGGAGGGAAGTGTGTAGTGGGGTGCCCCAGGGCTCTGTTCTGGGCCCAGTGCTCTTCAACATCTTCATCAACGATTTGGACGAGGGGATAGATGGGGAAATCATCAAATTTGCAGACGACACCAAGCTAGCAGGAATAGCCAACACTCCAGAAGACAGGCTTAGGATACAGGAGGATCTGGACAGA